ACGTTTTTTTATTTATTTATTTATTTTATTATTGATGTACTGCATACTCTTCCCTTTCTTCCTCTGCCTTCTTTATACCACACAAACGAATGACATTGATGACTTCAAATTCCATTCTTTTTAAAATACAACAATATGATCTCCTCTAGAATATTTGAGAACGAGAAAGATAGTGGAATTACACCCTGAACCTTGGAAATTAGGCCCATTACCCATTTTCTTACGATCTACACCATAACTCTTCAATTATCTTTTGGATGACTTTATTTCTTCATTCTTTGTACTATATTTCATTTTCTTGCTTTTACATTTCTACAGTTGAACTTAAAATTTGAACATTGATAAAGACCTACTTTTGTATGTCCTTACATGCTAAAAATATTGGGCCTCCTTACATACTAAAAATATTGAGTGGCCCAATATTTTGGGCTATTCTAAATAAATGTGGCCTATACGCATATTAAGTGTGGCAGAGAGAGTGCATTGTGCATATACCTCTTATTAAGTTGTTTGGTTGATGAGTTTGGTGGAATGAATAGTGTGAATTATCACGAAGATTAGAGATTGAAGAGGTACTTGCTAAAGATTGATTATTTATCTATTTTGGCTTGTATTTAGCAAAGCTTCTTGGCCTTATTTCCATATTTTTGGGTCCATTGTGGTTGGAGATGAAAATTTTAGCGTGCCCAAATTTTGTCATCAGTTGCTTCATAACGACATTTTTGTTTTTATTTGGATATTGAAGTGTTTTCTGATCAAAGATATTATACTATGAATGGTAGGTGATTAGTGTGGGAATATGCATATGGTTATTGAAGCTATTATAATAGTAATAATATGGATTACCTAAGGCCCTAAGGGAACTTAATTTTATCTTGTGGACTGGTGACATTAGCATTGATGATATATATAATCAGGGGTGAATCTCGCCTAGGATAAGAAAAATTGGGATCTTGGTTTTATTTTGGGGCTAAAATAGCCTGTAACTGTGGTCTACAAGATTAGAGGTATTTAAAAGGTGATCTTAGGATAGAAAAATTAAGCTGTTAGGAATATTCTGGTTATTGTGGTAATCAAGCCAGAGCTCAAGGAATTGGAATAGAGTTACACTCGCTCTTCACTTTGGGTTTTTTTGTTATGCTCAGGCATTGGAGAGCTATTACATTAACATGTAGGAGTACTCCCTTGATTATGTTAAAAAAATTTAGTTATCAGCCAGTAGCTTGGGCAAGCCCTGGTAGATTTGGTGCAACTCTTGTAGTTTGGGACTGTTTGCCAAGTATTACCAATCACTTCTCATAGGAAATTAATAACACACCTACATTTTGTTCTAATTTATGCTTCAGCACTGTTTTTTGCATCATTGCAGGCATTACTTTGTGCTGCATTGCGTAGGATATCTTTTCGAGAAATGGATACAGTAGTTTGTTCTTAAAGTTTTAGATGGCGTGATATGTGATTTGTGTGGGAGATGGGCTTTGGCGTTAATTAAAAGGAGTCTATTGATTAACAAACAAATAGATTTGTCCTGTGTTGTGTAAAACTCAGACACCCTGTGTTTGGGCTTCATAAACTGTTAGATGGGTGATTGAGAAGGCCGAACTGCATCACAATCAGATGCATCATTTCACAGTACGGTTTTCCTCCCAGTGCAGTGTCTTTTACGAGTATGATTTTTTCACTCCAAAATGTTTGGTAGATTTGAATCCCAGGTAGTTGGGTCAATTTATCATAAATGAGTTGGAAAGGTTGTACTACTCAATGTCTATATCATTACACCTTGTGTTGCTTTGCCAGTTGTTGACTCTTAAAACAGGGGTGAAATTAGCTGGTAAAGACACTATAAATCGAATTTTTGTTTGCGCTCTCTCACAACAGTCATAAATGCTAGTATAGCCTAGAACGATGATCAATTGTTGTACTTGTGGCTGAGACTAATTTCCATATTCCAACTACTGATATTTTTAATTTTCTGCATATCATTGATAGTTACTATATTTCCTTCAATATGAAGGTTTACTTCCATAGCTATGGGCGCCATTAATAGTCCTTCAGATGGCAACTGTTTCAGCTTAAATAGGATTCGATTTCTCCAAGTTAAGACGCGAGCTCTTAAGAGTCTTGGTAGATAGTCATTAGTCACTTAGAACTTATGCTGGGTAGATAGCTATGTAACCAGATTAATACATTAAGTATGCGTCTGTGTTCCATTTTTACTACGTAGTATGTATCTTGTAAGATCGATCTCCATAATAACTATGAGTATGATCATAGCGTCTTACGAGTACACTACACGTGGAGAGGTATCAGCTCTAGGATGATCCCTTGTAGGGTTATGAGGATCAGGCTCTTTAGCACAAGGAAAAATGCACATTTCATTTGTACCCAACGTTCTAGATTTAGCCTTCATTTAGCACACGTTCGTAATTTCCAAAATAAAATGAGAATGGACCTATCAATTGCAGATTGAGGCATCTGGCAAAGCTCTTTTATGGTTTTTTTAATTTTAAGCTCTCACCTTAGCATTGACATGATACGGGTGTACATAAGACAGTTTTTCGACTTGACGTTTCGGGTTTCAATGGTTATGGAACAAGACAACAAATGATGGCTCTTGCTCTTAAGGTTGGTGAGAGAAGTTGATCTAAATAACCCTTACTTCGTCTTTTTGCAGCCCATTTATACATGGATCCTCGTCCAACTGGCCTAATCATAAATGAATTCCTAGACTTTTTTTGTGTCAATTCACGGTCTTATGTTAACCCAACTATATACCGGATACATTTTACAAAACTATTTTATGTACCTTCTTTACCTTTTGTGATTCTCTATATGACTCGTATAAAAAAAAGTAAAAAAAAAAATACAGTGTTAGGAGTTAAGAGGAATGTAATTCATTATAGGAAATTTTGTCAAAAACTACCAATTAAAGTGCGTGTTTTGAAAACAACTACATATTAAAAAAAAAAATTAAAAACTACCACAAAGTTGTAAAAAGTTTAAGTAGCACTATCACTTTAATAATTCCAACTAGAATATTCGGCATGTAGGTTCTACTTTTTACCTTTACCTCATAAAATCATCATCTAAATTAACTAAATTACCCTTCATAAAGTTAAAAAGTGAGACCCAAATACCGGAGATTTTAGCCAAAATTGTTAAAGTGGTAGTGCTAGTTAAACTTTTTATATCTTTGTGGTAGTTCTTTTAAAAAAAATTTAATAGGTAGTTGTTTTCAAAATACGTGCTTTAATTGGTAGTTATTGACAAAATTTCCTTCATTATAATAACTTTTTTTCTTTTGAGTTTATATTAGATCAAATCAGGAAAAAATAAGATTTGAAAATACTTTATCATTCAATTTACTAAAATCTCAACATTATTGAGATCTTCTTATGAGAATGACGTACGAATCTTAACCAACCATTGATCCAGAATTGCAGATAGGTTTATTGTAGAAGTAGGTTTACAAAGTTTCTTATTGTATGAACATAAATTATAATACTCGATTAATTTTTGCTATGTCATACACTCATACGCGTTGAAATCTTCACAGTTGGCCTAATTACATATTCCGTACAATGTGTTAGTGTGATTGTTCACTACTCACTAGTCATTGTCAATCCTAAAGACTATTTATGACGACAATGTTATAAAGACTGTTTGTATTGTTGTCTTCTTAAATTTACTTGGTGTAACTAATTTTTTTGGTTCTTGCAAATTGTTAATGATAAATTTATAATCAAGTAAATTTGAGGTAACAATAATGACAACAATATTAATTGTTCTACGAGAGATTGTTATATGCATCCAGGTGCACCGTATATCCATGAGTATTTTGTTCGCATTTTAATAATTATTTTTCATTTAACCATCAAATGAAGAGCAAAAATTAGTCTCAGATTAGTTGGGTGTACGGTGCACTTGAATGTATTAAACAAATTCTAATGTTCCACTTGTATTATTTATGACGACAGATGGATGCTGTTTTACATAATAATGCTATTGGAATAGAATTTGAAGTAGACAAGTAGTATCATGCTGTGTCCAAATATGTTCCTTTATTGCTACAGTAACATTGATGCAAGTATTTACTAATAACATATGTAACCACGGTAACATTTTAATGCTCGCTAACATTCTCGTATTAGTTTTACTCATACAAGTTTATGCTTAAACGTAAATACGAGAACAAATTAATGTTACGCACACACAATAGTTTTTCCGGTTTAGTTGCTACGCCTCGTTTCTTGGAGCGCGTATCAACTACTCATGGTAATATGCCTACACGGCCACACACCTATACTACACTGTCGGAGATGTACTAGCCAGAGTGCCAGTGATTCAGTGAACACAAAACAGCTTGGGTGCTTGCTGCTCCATGCTTCTTTTGCCCATAACATAAATTGTGTCTAAAAAGAGCGTTTAGAAAGTCTGACATTTCATTGAAAGTAGGTAACAGGCCTAAATAAACTTAGGCAACTAGATATAGACAAGCCTAAAACTATTACCTGATCTATCTCCAGTTATATAAGAGTATCTTATTTATATAAACAGGATAGTTTTCAAAACATAACACATAAATCAGAGGATTGTTATAGATTTAACGACAATTGCTGCTCTTTTTGTCAGAAAATTGCTAAAATGTTTTCAACCTTGTGAAAGATCTTTATATAATAAGTCGGCTCTAAAAAGATGATAAAAATTTTAGTCTGGCCTGTAACGCCCCATGCTGAAGAATGTCCTGCAACATGTTCTTTTTTCGAGCGAAACAGAAATACCTGTGGCTGAGTTCTTTGAAGGCGGCACGAGTTTAATGAGGATCTCGCTTACACGCCTTTGAATTCTGATAGGCAAAGCAATGAATGAGGCCGGTATAGCTTAGTCGAATACTCGAATAGAGGAATGATGCTGAATATTGATAAATTCACCAATGTAAAAGCGAGAGTATGTCAAAAAACATCATTATCTATTTTCTTTGAGAAGTAAGGCGATACAAATAGACCAAGTACACTCTCATCTTCATATATAGACCGGGATATTGGATACATTAGATCCAGTATTCGAATCCTCCTCCCCCAATTTAATCGTTGTATTGGCCATTGTGGCTTTACATGACCCGAAAGGGTAGGAGGGTGACCAAAAAAAAAAAAAAAAAATCATTTACACAAGTTAACTTACAATTTGCATAGACCGAAGATCTAACCTGATAGATCTAGTAAATCCTAAACTATGGTGTTAGTACATAAAATGTCAGTAATTGTCCTAAACACGCATATTTGACTCTCTATTTAACCCGAAAAAAGGGTATATTTACCAGCAGATAGCAGAGACTATATGCTGCATTCCTCCTACCTACAGCTTGAAAAATGTCATTCTTGCTCTCTCGTCTTGAACACTTGTATACTAATGCTGGATGTTGACTTGCAACCAAACAGGAACATGGGTTTATCTCCACTTTTTAGCAACGGACCGATGAGCCAAGCCCCATTGAACCCCACCAGCTCTTTTAAACTTTTTCTTAAACCCAAATGTGCCTGGGCCTAACCATGGAGACAACATCCAAATGGCGGACAGGCGAATTTAAATCATTCTATAAGAGCCAATATAGCATAAAGGCTGAGGCTTCCCCACTCCAAAAATTTCCTCCTCCCGGGGATAAAACCCACCAGTTTTGCAATCACCTTCCACACAATTTTAAGAGGAAGATATCAAAAGAGGTTCCACTCAAAGACCCCACAAAGCTTAAATATGCTCCTATCACATGGATATGCAATCCCAAATAGCCAAAATTAAGCACATGAATTGCTCCTTTCTGGGCCACCTCACGCTAAATTCTCATGGTAAATGAATGGAAGAATCATATGATTATGTTGGGATTTGCCCGTGATTAGCATCCGTAATAGGCTAACCTCAGCATCGCATTATAGCAAGAGGCTAAGCGGAGATATCTGGCATGGACCCACCAGAAAGCGCGATGCACCCCACTGTATTTTTCCAACTTTTCCTGAAATATTGTTAAAACCAGGAATTTCAATGGGGTACTGGTAATCCATAATTATGGAATGATCTGATCCTGCCATCCCATCCAGCAGTTACAATAACCATTCCCCAGGCATTGGAATCAGATCTGCTCTGACAAGTTTTCAGAAATCTGTACTCAGATTTGTGCATTGAAGATGTTAAACTGGGAGAACGGCTTGGGGAGACGAGCTTTTCCTCGGGCCATAATGCGGAACCTTTAGGATGATACAGCTCTAAGAAGAAATCCTGCCTACAGGAGAAATGAGGTGGAGAAAAGTAAGGGCGCGAACCATGAGGCAAACCATTAAAAGCACCATCACGCCACTGAGTTCTGTTGACATCGTTTTGTAGCCCTGGCCAAGGTAGTGCAACAGACGCATTGGAAAGAAACCGCTCAGAAGACTTGATCTTCTTTGTCTTTGACGAGTCGGTGTAGTCCTGATCATTACACTTCCAAATATAGACATTGGAGTCTTCAGATGCAGCAACTATATGCTTTCCATCAGCAGTGAAAAACGCAGTGCAGTGAGCACCAGTTCTTCGAAGGCCTGGAGAATAGAAGGTACAAGAATACAAATCAATTAAGGAACTTATGAACTGTTTTAAAACACTGATAAGTCTTGCCAAAAATCCGGGTGTCTGATGAAAAACTCACCCTTGTATTTTCCAATCACATTTACCCCTTGAAGAATCCTAACTTGTGAATCAGCACATGAGATCATCACTTTGTTTGGGTCTTGAGGAAAGAACTGCATAGAATAAACTTTTTAATGAGAACCATGACAGATTACTCCAAACGAATAGAATATACTCTATAATAGAAGGGGAAATTGGTAATAACCAAGAAAGGATGAATACCTGAAAACCAGTTATCCGTTTCCCAGATGACTTCTTATTGTGCAAAAAGATCTGAGCATCTAACTCCAATTGATTATCTGAAACACAGAAGGGAACACACTTCAACAAATCTCTTTCAAAAACTAAATCCTCCGGACAATTCATTAACCACCTAACGAAAAGACTAAAGTTTCACCACTACATGATTATCAGGAGCGATATACATACTTTGCTTAACTAGCCTATCTTAGACATCCTCTATACCAAAATTAGATCTGTTAAATCAGTAACAGAGTTTCTATTTGAATTTCTATTCTCAACATTATTTGTTTATAATTGCATTGATCACACTCTGTGAAAGCAGATATATACAAGTTTACATCATACCCAATGGAATACATAATGGTTAGAGTTGCATTTAAAACAGCCGGGACAGGTATCTAGCAATATTTAGTACCTGATATGCTGTAAAAACGGCAACTCCCTGCAATCGACCCAATTATTCCTCCCTGATAAAGGAGCACAATTTATAAGTTTACTACATAGAAGATCGGTAGCATTTTGAGACTGAACAATAAGTTTGAAAATATTTCAGACAGCAAACAGACAATGTACCTGGCCATCAGGGCGATAACACACGGCAGTTACTATGTCTTTAGTCTCAGTCCAATTGACAACCTTACAATCAGATATTCCCCAAACGCGAACCTTCCCATCTATTGACCCGCTAATGAAGCAATTGTCATCAACAGGGTTAAACTGAACGCATGTTACTGCATCAAGACCAAATTAACTCAATAAGCTTATAAGCAGATGATAAAAATCAAGAGTTGCATAATACAATATATATAACAAGATTCTTGAAAAATTACCGTAGTTATTATGTGGAAAGACTCTAAGGCAATGGTTGGTTCCCACTCGCCACAAACGAACAGTTTTATCCACTGATGCTGACAAGAGACACTGCATTTCAAGCAATAGATGTAATTAGACGAGTGTCACAGCAATAAAAAAAAAAAAAAAAAAAGTGCACAATACCTTATATGCAATCACTTACATCATTTTTGGACCATGATAGATCCAATACTTCACTCCTATGGCCTTGAAACGCATGTAATGGCTTTTCCAATATCCGAAACACCTTTGGAGGAAGAACCACACAGGCTGAATCAGAAGTTTTCTTCAATTTGCTGTTTTTCTCTTTATCATGGCTGAGGGGTTTCAATTCAGATTGATGGTTCATTGTGAAGTACACACATGATGGATCCATTTCCGGAATGTCGATCTCATTCGATCTATCATCCTCCACCACTTGCCACACGCGTACAATTCTGTCCTCCCCGGCACTAGCCAAGAATTGCCCATCAGGACTGAATTTCATTGTCAAAATCGCGCCTTTATGAGCTTGGATGTTCTGGCCATAGTATAGGGCTGAAAATTCCTTTGACTGTTTCTTTGTTTGATGAACCTTCACTCTCTGAATTCCTCCCCTAGCAGATGAATCACAGTTACATGATTCAGGTTCTCCCTCCATAACACAATTAAAGCTGCGTAATCTGTTCAACCACCACTTCTTCACCTTCTTGGTAGGACCCACTGAACTGCTCATTTCTGTGTTTTCAACAGGTGAAAATCCTTCACTCGACGAAGAAGAGCACAAACTGCCCTCAGACTGATGTGCTCTGACAGCATCATCTGAACGCGATTCGTGGTTTTCAACAACCACATTGCCCTTCAATCCCTCACCTACATTTTTCTTATGAGTCAGATTTCCAGACAACTCCGTATCATCAAAAGAACAGAATGATACAGGACGCCTGCTCGACGAAAGCTGACACTCAAATCTTCTGTTTCTCAGCTCATTACCATTAACATTTGTAATCCTATCAACCTCAATTTCAGAACCACAACTTTCTTCACAACAATCACCAGAAAACTTGTTATTTACATCAAACCCCAACCAATTAAAGAATTTACTACGACGAGATTCAACACTTTCTGGATTTTGTATCCACACATCAAATTGTGCACTACTAGACACAGAACAACTAGCTTCACGGGAAGAACTCGAACGCAAATCGCAATCGGAACCCGAATCAATAATCTCCTCAAGAGCATCAAAAAACTGGTTTTCACCAGGATCACTGCAAGTATCCATTGTTTGCTTGAGCATAAGCCTCAACCCATCAAACCCCTCCTCAAGTAACCAACTTTATTATATAACCTCGGCAATGTGCAAACTCCTGAATTTCCTCCAAACAAGAAATTCCCAAATGAGCAGAGATTTAATACTATATAAAATTCAGATAATAAAGTAAAACTAATTGATTTTTCTCATAAACAACATATAGACACACAAATTCCAAGACCAGTATTTTTGCACCAATATTATTATATTTGCTCCAAATAAAACAATTCTAGAAATAAGCACAAAAACACAATCAATATTAACAAAGGATCCCGATCCAATAAACTAACTGAACCTGGTCATTAAGCACCGCAACACTCAACATTTGGAAATGGTCAAATTTCTCAATAATTAAGCTTTCAAAAGTTTTAATGTTTAAAATTAAAATTGGAATTGAAATCAAATAAACCCTACTTGCATTTTCCAGTAAAATAACCCCTTAAAAAAATCAAAAAAATCCATCAACTAAAAACCCTTGACAAAAAACCCATCATCAGAAATTCAAATCAAAGTAATACCCACTTCAAAAATCCTATAATTCAATTGAATTCCACTCAGAAACAACCCAGAAATCAAAATTAATTACATGTGAGCCAGAAATTAAAAGGGGGAAAAGAAGGAATCTTACAAAAAGATTATGAATTTGCCGAGAAATCAGAGTAGGAAGTAGGTTGATCCAACATTTAGAAGATGAAATTTGGAGCTATCTAGAAACTTGATGGCTCCAGGAAAGAAGAAGAAAGAGCAAACCAAAGCAAAGCATGATACAGAGGAACTACCAGGAAATAGAAAATTATAGTACATGGGAAAAATAAAAAGGAAAATAAATAATTTATTATAAAAACTAGAAAATCAGTACTATTTGGAGAAAGGGATTTTTAATTTCCTTTATTATTTTGGTTTTATGTGAGGAAGCTTTTTCTTACCGTAATTTTTTTAGTGAGAGAAAAATGGAGGGTCCAAGAAACGAGAGAGAAAGAGGAAGGTGTGGGTTTTATAAATTACTCGCAACTTTCTTTCAAAAAAAAATAAAATAAAATTAATCGCAACTTTTCCCTTCTAAAAAAATAATAAAAAAAATACTCCCAAGTAATTTTCCACTTTTATTACACAACTATTCAATTTGGAAAGGCAATATATTTAACCTCTAATAAAATTTTGTAAGAAAATTACCACTATTTAAATTATTATACTCTTTAAAAGTTGTAAACACTTGTATATCTTTTTTCATGAGATTTATTATTGTTATTATTTTTTTATTAATTGTATTTAGGTATAGCATGTTAAATTTGAAAGTTGAAAACATTAATTTCCCGATCTCGTGAGATATGAAATCCTAACGTATTTTGCGTGTATTTTATTGACATAGAGCGATAATTGACATTAGTATAAACACTCTAAAGTGTGTAGTTTAATTTGATTCTTAGCTTTGCATTTGTTTGCGTTGTTGTTATGTAGTTTGCTTATTTTGTAGTTTGTATTATTGGTGTTTTTCCTTCTCGTTCACCGGGGAAAAAAAAGTATATTTTTTATTATTAATTTTAGGTAATCAATATTTCTCTACTTTTTAACATTGTGTAAATGTATTATTATAATATTCAAAATTTTCTTTTAAGAAAACTATGAGTTTGTTTTATCTAACTTAATTTTGTCTTAACTTATGTTATTTGACTATATATTTTTTTATTGCACTGTATCATTTATTTGTATGTTGAACTTATTTTAATTGAAGCGAGTCAATCAAAACTTTTTTAATTTTTTATAAATAAATAAATTAATTTGTTTAGAATAAGTCAAAATTAAATAAACTAAAGAGGACTAAAATTACACTGTATAGTAAGAATGTAAGATCATCTGATTGTGGTAGTCTTAATATTTTTTAACAAAAAAACATCTATCACTTTAACTCTTTAAGACATGGTATGAAATGGTATCATGATTGGGAAATTTGACGTTGCACACATCACAATTGAATTGCGAAATCATCAATGAAATTGGAGAGATAAATCAAAGGTTCTTAAATTTCTTGCTTAAAATTGAGAGCAATTCCAAATGAAGAGTTGGTTGCTCTAGTTTCCTTTTGTGAAGTCTTTGGTAAACAAATTTGACTTTGAATTTCTAAGTTTGGATGACCTTACTTAATTGGTCAACATACAACACTTCTTGCGGGGACCTAATTTTCTCACAAATTATAGTCTGAAATTTTCTTTTGCTTTTCAATGTTCACTTTCACCAACCAAATAAAGTTTTATTCATTTTATTTATTTATTGGAAAAAGATATATGCAACACTAAAGGCTTCATATAAGAAGTTAATAATAGAAAGAATTGACAATAAATAAATATTTATTACACCGATGTACCCGTGAATTGTTGATAAATTCCCAACTTAATACTAAAAAAGGAAGTATATTAAATACTTATATGTTAGGGCTGCATATAGCATTATCCTAATTCTATTTAGTGTAACTAAAAACTCGATATGATCATCAGATCATCTAGTACGTATTAGAATTAGCGAATTCTAAAAATGTTATTCAAAAGTATCAAGTTCTCGATCATGCAACGTTAAAAGCTAATCGATATATCTTTATAACCCATTTCACTAGTCGGGTAAATCAACACTCTTTACCTATTACCTTAAGAATTATTGTTTTGTACATCTCCTATTATGTAAAAATACGGAAAGAATTGAACATGCTAAGCACAACTAACCATAATAAATCGCATAATTGTAGTGGAGGGGGAGAAATAGAGCATAAATTGATGTATGTCCCTTAATTAAAAAGGAACATTTACGCATAATATGGGCCATACAACAAATAATGTACACCATCTTCTAAATTATTGGTTTTCAGTTGAGTTCATGTGCTCATTATGAATTGGTTAGTTGTTCTGAAGAAATTAGCATGTTCATCATTTCCATATTAAATTTTAAATCATTTCCTCGTACATTTTTCCAGTTGATATATTCAAGGATACCATTGGTTTTTTTGGACAAAGTACCCAGCATTTTATGACAATTTGATTGGAAAATGTCAATTTTTTAATATATATAATGGTACCTTTTTCTAGTGATCGAATTTATACCATAATTAAGTACATACTAGTAATTGAAGGAAAATAATTCATTGAAATTAATGTAATTGTAACAAGGTCAACAGATCTAAAAGCTTATGTCTCCAATAGAACCCAACAATATCATAACAATTACAATGGTTAATTGCTGTCTTTGTTTGCATTTTACATAACAATTTAACTTTAATTAGGTAATGGTCTCTTTTAGTTATTTTTTTTTCACTTTTTATGATTATGATTTATTACTATTACTACTTTACTAGTACTAATATTTTCAACCCCTATGATTTATTCTTACCTACTATGTATATGTCTTTAAATTGAGGGATTAGTCTATTGTCTCCTAATTGAGGGATTAGTCTACTAGTAGACTTTCACAACATTTTTTTTACAAAGAAGTTACTATTTTCTTGTGCATCTCCTTTATACCTCTATGTTGGGACTAGATTAAGTGTAACTACAATCATTTAGATCATCCTACTTCGGACTTAAGTAAGAAAATCAATAATTATGTTGAGTATCATTAATTACGTTTATAAAATTATAAATACGGAGTACTCTATTGAGTATGATGAATGATCATTTGGGATAAACTATTTGATATCAACTAATTCGCTTAATTGCACAATATAAAACTTTCACTAATCGATCATAATAGTTTCTCACTTTCACCGATAATAGTTGTTTAATTTATAAATTACATGTCAAAATTTTGGATAACATAAGCAATTTGAATATTACGAAATTGTTTTAACAAATGAACACTATATTTCCTCATAAAAAATATTTAAAAAGATGAAGTGATATTGGGTTAAAAAAGAAGTCGATAATTTTATTTATGGATCAAATCAAGGCTTGATAATTGTGTGGATTTTCCCAAACCCTTCTTATAAGGAAATGGGTATCTAGCTTCACTACAATGCCTTTTTTGTAAAACTTTCTTTAACTTTTTGAAGAGCATTATGATGAAAATTAAATCATCTTTAATTTTTAAAAAAAATTGCTAATGTTGGTCATTACTGTAGTTTTAGTGCTAAGTATGACACTCTATTCTCCTAATCTTTTTTAAAGAGCTTTGATTGCATGTCGTCCACTCTATTTGACTATTTTGTCAATATTGGTTCTTCTTTTATTAATGTATCTAAACATTGATGAGTTTTTAACAATATAATGCAGAAAACCTTTTTGGTGTTGTAATTTTTTTTTTTTTTTTTTTTAAAATATGTGTTAGAACTATTTGAAGTAAAGAAAGGTGGAAGACATCATAATAAACTACTACCTTATTCTGCTATCTAGTGGTCTTCCACTATACTCTACAAATTTGTAAATAAAAATAACTCTACAAAACTTAAACCTTACTATTCTGCTACAAGTTAGCTTAGTGACAATTTTCTTCTACTTATAACGATAAGTCGATAACAAATATTTTTGTGTAGTACTTCACTAAAGTCAACAAAATATTTTGCACAACAAGTGTATTGTATACAACAAAGTTAGTCATTCCAAATAGCATATGAGTCAACACTCAGCTCGTTATGTATTACTCACAGTATACAAGATTGACCTAATATACAACCTCTAATCATCGGCAAGTTCTAGCTTATTTATAAGGAAAATTGTAAACTAATAATCCCACCTTTAGTCGGTCTTCCAGAAACAATCCCACTTTTTGAAATTACAGAAATAATCCCACCTTTAATATGTATCTTCCACTAACGATCCCTTTGACCTACAACCTGTTAAACAGGTTAATTATTTTTTTTTTTTAACCTAAATCTCTTTTGGGGCCACCAGTCCACCACCATGGTCACCCTAACCCCTAACCGCCACTGCCACCCACAAGGCCACCACAGATTATTCCAACCATGCTGTAGCCACCCCTAAAACTCAACCTCTGCCCCCAAAAACTTGACCCACAGACCCGAAAAACCTCCACCCAGCCTGAAAACTCAACCCTCAGCCCTAAAAAGTAAACCCCGGCAGCCCCAATTACCTCTAAATTCAATTTTTAGCTTGAAATTAAACCCAGAAGATCCTCTTTAACCAAGGCTCAATACTCTTATACTGATTATAGAAATTTCTCATATCCGCAACCACCATCTTTAATCACAAACATATGCAGCAACGACGTAGTCATCGAAGCCGATGAATCGATCTTCAATTCGTAAGACCAGCGAGGACATTACGACCATCGATGTTCATAGCACATAAACCACAAATTTCTTCGCGGCAAGTTCGGCAGAAGGTGACTAGGTGAGAGAGAAGGATCGATTTTGTTCTTGATGTTGATGAGAGCGTCGAGAACCATGAGACCATACTCCTTGAGGTTGATCTCATAATTTTTGAGCTCGGGTTTCGAAGGAGTCGGGGTTCTAGCGGTAGATTTGGAAGGTTTTCATTGATATTGGTGGCGGAGATGGTGAGTTGAGGGCTAGGTTGGGTTGCCGGGGAAAGCAAGGGCGGCAATGGGGAGGGGAAAGCAGTGGCGGGGTGGGGCTAGTGGCGGGGATGTGTTGGGGTTGGAGATGGGTTTTTTTTATATATATATTATTATTAAAAATTTGAATAAACCTATTAAAATTCGACACGTGTCTTATAACCTAAGAAAACCGGTTACCAAAGCTATCCAACCGGTCAGGGATTGTTAATGGAAGATCCATGTTAAAGGTGGGATTGTTTCTGGAATTTCAACAGGTAGGATTGTTTCTAGAAGATCGACTAAAGGTGGGATTATTAGTTTACAATTTTCCTATTTATAAAGGAGAGCTTTGATTATCCATAACACACAAGATTAACATATTCTAAAAATGATTATGCTAGCCATGAATATACTTAATTGGGTGGGACACCTAAGGACTAAGGTCAATCAACCCAACCACTAAGCAACATAAATAATCAACCCCTTTCCAGGAAACAAACCAAGACATTGTACTTAATTAATTAGATAATCAAACCACCTTATAACTATATAATATGAGATGTATGTCACATGCCCTAAATCTATGTCTCTACCCTACAACAGTACATAAGCAAATAACATTACCTAAAAAAGCTTGAAAAAA